CCCCCCCCCCCCCCCCCCCCCACTTCTCGCGTCAGTATAGTAATAGTACAAATGAGGAGTCCACTGAAAAAAATGGGCATAAGTCACAAACTGGAAATTGTGAGGGTGTCAATTTCAAAAGCTTGTGGAATCGTAGCTTCATATTTGTTTGATTGGTGGTTTATTTTATATGTTTGTTGGATGGGAATTCTAACAACTATAATCAACCAACAGCTGAACAGAAATACAGCTATGAGTCAACAAGTGTTGAAAATTGATACCCTCACGATTTTCAGTTTGTGGCTAAGCCTGTCTTTTTTCAGTGGACTTCTCAAATATTCTATCCCCCCACCCACCCAGGTTCAGACGTATAATAACCCACCACCCCCACCCACCCAGGTTCAGACGTATAATAACCCATCACCCCCTCCACTATCTCCCCTACTGGGACACAGTTGTCTTGTCACTGGCTGCATGATGATGTTGCTTGGCTTAGTCCTTTCTCTTCCTCCCACCACCTCTTTGTTCTCCATTTTAGTTCTTTATGCTTTGTATTCCAATCCCACGTACAGGCGAGAAGAAAAATACTGACTTTTGTATAAATAGGTATAGGCCTATTGCATATGGAAATGAGTCAAATAATTTTTGAATTCATTTAATTTAGATTTCTAAATACTGAATTTTTTCTGAAGTACCTGTAAGCCTAATCTTTTGTGCGGAGTAGTGAGAGTGAGAAGGATGAAGGAGTTGTACATGATTATTATAATTTGGTAGAAATTATACTACATCTGACAAATCGTGCTACGAAGGATTACGCATAGAGTTGGTACCTAGGGTAGACAGTACTGAGTGTGTAGAGGTTGATAGAGCCGGGAGTCAATGCATGCCTCAATTAGTACTGCTGCTGCATGGAGCTAGACTTACACCCCCCCCCTCACCCACCCACCCATCATCACATGTCTACCGTACCTAACAAGCAAGTGCTCTGTTGTAGCAGTTAAGCCCCACCCCCCACCACCCCCAAAACCGCATTTTCAGACTGTTAACCTGAAGTTGTATCTTACGTGGACAATCCTCCAATGAAGTCTTGACTGAGCTCCACTGTGTAGGTTGTCTCTCTCTGTCTGTCTTGCTTCAGACCTGGCACAACCCCCCGGGGCGGTGCCATTGACTTGAGTGTCTTTAGGCCTTTCCCGAAGGGGTCACATTTCTCGTTCTAATGCTCAGTAGAATTGTAAATGGGCTGATCCAACAATGTCATGCTCATAACTGTGCCTGAACTACAACAAGGAACTGCTGCTTTTTCTTTCCTAATCTTTACTATCGTCCTTTTCCTCTACTTTTGTATGTTTGTCACTCTCTTGCAATCCACTATTTCCGGGGTGCCTTGATAGTCGAAGCAGACTTTGTGCTGTTGAAGCTAGAGAGGTGAGCAGAGTAAGTCTGATTCCCTGAAAGGACTTCCTAGTTGACATCCACCCCTTGGCGCTCATATGACCTACTTATTCAGTTGCGAGCGCCGTAAAACCTCTACTAAAACTAAAAAGGCCTGTCACTTAAGTGACCATTACCTGGTTGATGTGCTTGTCTTTTCGCTCACCAAACTCACCACACACCAACTAGAGACAGATCTAAAACAGAGAGCCCGTCCAGTAGCATTGTTTATAGCAGACAGATAGTTCATTCTTAATGTCTATAGCAGACAGATAGTACATTCTTAATGTCTATAGCTGACAGATAGTTCATTCTTAATGTCTATAGCTGACAGATAGTTCAATAATCCATTCTTATTGTCAATAGCACACAGATAATTCAATAGTCCAGTCATATTGTCTATAATAGACAGATAGTCTGATAGTCCAGTCATATTTTCTACAACAGACAGATAGTACAGTCTTATTGTCTATAGCAGACATAGTCAAGGTTGTCCAGTAATATTGTCTCCTGTCTGTGAAAAGTCTAGGGGAGAACATTATTCTGTTATTACTGTACATTCAATACTGCCAAAACATATATTTAGTACTCTTTCGAGAGTCTGAGTTCTGAAGTCTGTTTTCATATCAGAAAATACGTATTCTTAGTTTTCTAGTATTGCTGTTCACCTACCGACCTGCCGATGTGGAAGAAAAAAAAAAGAATTTTAATACCAGATTTGCAAATATTAATGAAAATAAGGTCCATATAAGTCAATTAGAGAGATGTTTTGCTAAGTGTTTTTGACATTATTGATGCAGGTCTGTTTTGAGTAGCTTGAATTTATTGAATGCAGAAAAGTGTGCGTGGAGGATGGGGGTGGGGGTTCCTATTTGTGCAATTTTTGACCTGCTGTGTGGATGGAATATTTTCTAGTTTTGGAAAATTGTCAGCTTTGTACATGTTCTGTCTCCCCGTGTGCCTGTGATGTGCTTGAGGTCAATTTATCAAGAAGTGGTCAGTGTTGTGGGCTGTTTATTTTGTCTAATGACCGTGACAATATTGATATGCTTGACCGCTGTGTTGTCATTTAGTTGTTGTCGTTTTCATCGAAGTCTTTAATGCGGGTGGTTGGAGGGCTCTACTGATAGGTCCTACTTCTGTTGTGTTGCTGTGTTGTTCCTTCCCATCTGACAGTCTTGCTTTTTATTCTCTGTAGTAAATGGGTGCACTAAATATGCGTGAATGTGTCGTTATTGTGTCGATGTGCTTCTCTTTACTAAAACAAAGACAAACAACCAAACGTTCCCCCAGTATGGATGTGTCTTAGGACAAGTTTGCGTCTACTTAGGACAAGTTTGCGTCTACTCGCTGATAGTATTGCACTCAGACGTGTCACTCATTACCACAGCAACGTATCCAGTTCCTTTTCATGACTCTGACCACCAAAGGCAGAGACAAGCTTTTTGACTTTTGACACGGTAGCATTGTCACTTTCAACTCAACACACTTAACTTTTCTTCCTGGTTCTCTTCTTGTGAAATATGAATAAAAAATCCAACCCAA